GTAAGTGCATTGAACAAATCAATGACTGGATGTGTCAGAACTTTCTCCAATTAAACAAAGATAAAACTGAGGTAATGGTTTTTGGAGCCAAGGCAGAACGTATAAAAGTTAGCGCTGAGCTTCAGTCTGCAATGTTCAAAACAACAGATAAAGCCAGAAATCTAGGTGTAGTCATGGACTCTGACCTGAGTTTCAACAGTCACATTAAAACAGTTACTAAATCAGCCTACTATCACCTAAAGAATATATCTAGGATTAAAAGACTAATGTCACAGCAAGATTTTGAAAAACTTGTCCATGCTTTTATCTTCAGTAGACTCGACTACTGCAATGGTGTCTTCGCAGGTCTCACTAAAAAATCTATTAGAAAGCTGCAGCTGATTCAGAACGCCGCTGCTCGAGTCCTCACTAACACTAAGAAAGTGGATCACATCACTCCTGTTCTGAAGTCTTTACACTGGCTTCCTGTGTGTCAAAGAATAGATTTCAAAATACTGCTGCTGGTTTATAAAGCACTGAATGGTTTAGGCCCAAAATACATTTCTGACCTCCTGCTAAATTATGAACCATCCAGATCTCTCAGGTCTTCAGGGACTGGTCAGCTTTCTGTCCCCAGAGTCAGAACTAAACATGGTAAAGCAGCGTTCAGTTATTATGCTCCAAATATCTGGAACAAACTCCCAGAAACCTGCAGGTCCGCTGCAACTCTGACTACTTTTAAATCCAGGCTGAAGACTTTTCTTTTTGTCGCTGCTTTTAATTGAACTATTCATATCTTAGACTGCACTGTAACTTTTATCACTGTAACTTTTATCCATGTATTTTTTCTTTTAATGTTTATTTTATTAGCTTTTCTTTTTAATGACTGATTTAAATGCCATTTTCTTAATGTCTTTCATTTTTTGTAAAGCACTTTGAATTGCCTTGTGTTAAAAAGTGCTATAAAAATAAACTTGCCTTGCCTTGCCTTGCCTAGATATCTCACTATGTGTGTACTTTGACAATCGTTTTTTTTGTGTCTCTGTTTCTAATCTCATTCACTCTCTCCCTCTGCTGATTGATATGTGAGGCTGCCTGAGCTCTATAGCTCAAATCATTCACTATGTGTTGTTCAAAGTGGTGAGAATGTGGTAGCTGCAATAAAATAGTAGAAATGCAAAGGATGGGAAGTCGGTTTTTCAGTCAAATTCAGTCACTAAATGCTCGTGTTCATCTGATTATTGATAGAATAGAATAGAATCGGAGGAATGAAACCCTCTGTAATGGTCACACATGCAGAGCACACAGTGAAATGTGTTCTCTGCATTTGACCCATCCTAGTACCAGGAGTCTAGTACTAGGAGCAGTGGGCAGCTATTGTACAGCGCCCGGGGAGCAATGGGGAAAGGGGGTTGTCCGGTGCCTTGCCCAAGGGCACCACGGCAGGGCAGCAGGTGAACTGGGACCTCTCCAAAGTAGCAATCCACAGTCCATATTTAGGTCTGTTCGGGGGGCTTGAACCGGCTACCATACAGCTCACAGTCCAAGCCCCTACTGACTGAGCCACTGCCGGATACCATGATAACTCCAATAAAAGTAAAGGTTGCAAGTTTCCTGTGATTTCGACCATTTGAAACATGACATTGCTAGCGGTAAATAAATAAAAAAAATCCCTTGTTATAGTGTTTTCAAGCTTCCATTTTCATTTTCACTTTACATTTTAAATACTCACAAGCTTACATGAGAATTAAAAGGTATTTGAATTTGCATGCCATTTTACAGCCTCAAGCGTGTGCTTTGTGGCCGTCATTCAGACTGTTCATCCTATACAATACCATAAGGGTTAATGGGGCCAATGTATAATTGGAGATCCACCTGCATAATTTAGCATTCTGTATATTATAATGAATGTAAATAACAAACATGTGGGGATGTGGATGTGTTGAGGCAAAATTATATGGATATGTGCTCTCTTCTATCATAGATGTTTGGGTAGTAATGGTTACACTTTGACTTTGTGCTCACTCTAGCACTGTAAAATCTCTGAACATTTTCTTGTCTTCTGCCGCCTCAGTATGGACTAACACGTAGGGCAAATGCACAGTAATATATTAAAGGTCTCAATACTTTACACTCTCTAGCTCGCCCTCCCCTCGTACATGGAAACACACACACACATTCGCCCACACACAACCACTGGAAAAGACACTCTGGAAAATACTGTTTGCTGATATGCGGATTGGCATAAGAGCGGAACGCTGAGCATTTCAATCTAAACAGTAAACACTCTTAATTGGATTGTGTGCTTATGTGCTTTATTCTCTAAGGGCTGTATATTATTATTAGGCCTAATTGATTTTGATACATATTTACACGAGTTTGGTAAATTAGTCCAAAGCAAAATGTTTCGTCATTAACTCTAATAGGGGAGAATTATGGGCCACCTTTTGGTTTACACAGCCATTACTGGAACATCGTGTCGTTGCAGTGTCAGAGTTCACTGGTCATTTGGCAGTGCCCTGTCTGTGTCAACATCCTGTGGAAATAACCATGCGGACCTCCCGCTCATCACAGAGGGGATGATGGGAGCTGAGTGTCGGGCCTTGTCGTCACCCTGAGGTTAAGAGGTGGAGCACCAATCCTCTCTTGCTGATCTCTAACCATCACCTGCCTCAGGAGGTTGTGCGTCAAGCGATTCAACCTCATTCACATGAGATATAGGTCTGCTTTAGTGTCCCTAGAAATGTCGAAACACCACCATCACCAGCGTTTGTCAGTTTGAATACGGTATGTGTGTTCACAGGAGTGTGCACTGTAGAGTCAAATAGCATAGTTTAGGTCTGCACAATATTAAACCAAACTAATATCAAAAACAATTGCACTATGTCTGCGGTATAAAAGATGCTGGAATATCCCCTCTAAATTGTGAAAATGTAAAAAGATAAATGCATTGATCTGGTGCAACTTAAGTGGCTAGATAGATATAACTGTGTGCTTTAGTAAACATTTTAATCCTATACTTATTTGATTGTATCTATAAGCAAATTAATGACTAGGAGTAGGTTTATGTGGGAGGGAGGCTGTGGCTCAGTGGATAGCGTGCTGGACTTCAAATCAGGGGGTAGCAAGTTCGAGTCCCAATGTTAGTGATCCCACAGCCGGGAAATTCTTACCACTGTTATTTATACTGTAGAGATGTTAAGAAATGAATTGACTGTATTGAATCCAAACATCAAAACACTGAAATAACCTTTTAAATTCCTTAAATCCTCAATAATTGCACAATGGAGATTTAAAATGTGTTTTTCCCAAGGTTATTGTTCAAATATTCATGTATTTTTTTAATAAATATGTATTTTTGTAAATCTGTTGGATCTCAGAAGTGATTTTAGGTGAACAAAGATATATTGATGGAAACAAACAGCTGGTTATCCGTTAGTTTGGCGTCACACAAGGCACAGTTCTAGGATATCTTATCTTCTGGTTTTCTTGGCTTTCTTTCAATCAATGTGTTCTACATTCATTATAGTCCACAGGAACGATTTCATGTGGCTACTGTGTACAAGGTATTTCATTTCCTTGGAATATGCTTTTCAATAAAATATAATTATGAGTGCAGTACACAGCCAACTAAAGTGTCTATTGTAGAGTGTTTCCTTTCATTTCTGATGGTTAGATGGCTTTGTGCCTTTCCGCTTTGTCTTCTTGTCTCCGTCTCATACCAAAAGTTTAAAGATGTAATCACTCACTTGTACAGTATCCCTTCAAGCATTGTTTGGTTTAAATCTGACATTTGCCAAATGTTGCTTTTCGCTTTGACACCAAATCCTCCGCCATCTTGACTGTCAACTCTCTCTAATACTAATCCTGCTAATCTGTGCTGCTGCTGTACAGAGCAAACACCTTTTTCCTTCAGTTTATAATTGTAGCTCCATGTGGGCAGGTAATGTAATCGATGTTTGTCCTTACACTGTGTAACTTGGGTTAACATCGACTAGCGAGCCTTGTTGGTGATGGCACTTTTTGGCAGGGGGACACTGTGACACATAACATGAGCCCCCTTGGCCCTGCAGGCATCCACATCCTTGGTTTCACATCACCTGCAATTTAAATTCCATTACTTGCCGTGCCACACTTCAAATAAAGCTCGGGCCTAATTACCAAAGTATGGGTTCAGGGTAAAGGTGAATGTGCAATTACAGAATTAAAACAAGCCCCCGTTTAGCTAGTCAGTCCTGACAGAAATAATTTGAGGGAATTATGAAATGCTTCCACTGCTCTCAGCTTCATTGTCGTCTCAGGAAAAAACCAAATCCAATCTCTACCGCTCCTTTCTCTTCAAAAGTAAAGCAATTAATTGTGCTTTCCTATAATTACCTTTGAACTGTACGTGTTGGTGATAAACAAAAGGAAATAAACACCCCCTGTAACTGCTGTACCTGTGCTGCCTAATGCTTTCTGTGTTCCTTGAACCGTTTAATAAAAGAGGTCGAAATTAATAAGATCATTTTAATTTCGGTGTGGTGGTTATGGTATTCATGCGGAAATTGCATATCATTATCAGGGTTTTAGGTCTAGTGAATTAGAAGCTGTAATTAGCTGCTCAGGTAAATTAAAGTTGTGATGTTGGACAATTATGCTAGGATTTCAAAATAGATAACATTCAAATGACACCAAATGATAATACACTTTTTTTTTTTTGCTTTCTTAAAGGGACATTGCACTGAAACTGAAATGTCTCTTACCCCTGCTGCCATGTTTTAAATGTGTGCTTTACTAAAATGTAAAAACCTATATGTTTTTTTTCAAAAAACCCTGCTACAAGCAAGCATTTAAAAAATTGCCTGTAATGACGCAATTTGCCAGTGGCTGACCAGATTCACTGGTTGAAGTTGTGTCTCTATGACAACCAGCTGTCTGTAATTAGCAAATCAAGCCAGAGTGAGGTTGGAGCGTCAGATTGGCTGCAGAGAAGTCAAGAGTGACAAGTGTTTGCAGTAATTGCATTGCCGTGAAGTTAATGCTGACATAACTGCAGGGATGTGTGTTCTACTGTTGCTTTTCCTCAGGTATTGTAAAACTGAATGTTTTCCGTGTTGAAAGAGAAACAATCATTGCTGTTTGTCTTACACTGATTTCTGTTTCTCTGCAGCTCCATTGTGCTTCACTCTGTGTCAGCTGGAGGTGTGTATTGTGCTAAAACAGCCAGAGGTATGTAGTGTGCTTTAATTGATGTTTGTACTTTTTTTTAAATCACCCATTAGTGGGTATTTTTGATATTTCATAACAAATCGCTCACAGAGAATAAAAAACAGTTTGTTAATATTTCTATGTTGCAGCCCGTGCAGCTGCTCTGGGTTTGGATTATCCTGGAGTCCATGGAGGGCCTGATCTCTATAGACCACCTCACCATGGGATGCACCACAGCATGATGGCGCCCAGACCTCAACCTGAGAATAACAATGATCCTGGATGGGGTGCGACTGAACCTAACATGGCCTCGAACGAAGGTCATCCCAGGAGTCTGCATGGCGCTTACAGGCCGGTTCAAGCTGAATACACCACGGACCAAGTGCTCAGCCTTCCTAGAGAACGGTCACTTATTCACCGCAAGTCAAATTTTAAGCAGGTCAAGCATGTTGCCCCTCCAACTCTGGCTGAAGCCCCAGGCCAACCTGACCTTGTGAACAGGGACCCCCGAGGTCGTAACAAGCCGCTCTCACATGTCTACAATAAGTACGACCTTCTGGTTGACGAGTCCGTCCCAAATAGACATGGCATGTCCCAAAGCAGGGGTCATGGCGCTCACCAGAGGCGTTTCACTGGATATGGCCTGAGAAGAGAAGTTCCTGTCCTCAGTTCATACGGCATCATGAACAACGGCCACATCAGAGCGACAACTAGCTCAAAACCTGCTGTTGACAGACGGAAATGGATCAGGTTTCCTGGCCGTCTTCCTCAGCCCCTGCACCAACGGCTGAATGTCAAACAGTATTTTCAAGGTAACCCTGTCCTGAGACATCTGACGGAAAGCAAAATCAGGCCGAATTAGCTGGTGAGCTAAAGGGTCTGACACATAGCTTGGCTGTCTTGTCAAATATTGTGTATGTGAGGAGTTCTTAAAGTTAACAGGCAAGCATTTTTTGAAGGGAAAAACAATGTGATTTCAGAATCTATTTTTCTGGCTTCCTCTAACCTTTACTGAAAGATGAAATGTCCTACCTATCTGAATACAAGCTCCTGCATTGTTGCTTCCTCACCTGTAGCTCTAAAACACGTCACATCTTGTATTGTCTCTCGATTTATTAAATTACAAATGGCTATAATTCTCATTGCCTCTCTTTTTCTTCTGCCCTGCTCATCATAAATGCCTCACTCAGGTCTGGATGTTACCAGAGTGCCATCTGTTGGCTCTAATGTGTACATCTCCTTTTGGCTCACATTGTTGAACACAGGTGCTGCTTAACAGAAGGTCAGCTTTTTACAAATCCCCTAATCTGTTTACAATCTGTTTTATGCAAGTACTACTAGTGGGTATGCTAATTTCTCCAAATAACCTTGGTCTTTAAATGAGGCCATGTTTCGTTAGTGTTCTGCCATTTCCAATAGAGACAATGGGGTTTTAAATGCAGCCTTATATTTAGAATTTAGGAAAGCGTCACCAAGTATTTAATATTTGTCATTACTCATATTACAAAATAAAACCAGAAAAAATAAGCTACGGTGGGTTTTATAGACCAGATTAATTGAAGAAAAGCTTTATATTTCAGCCCCTGGCTTTGATTCCTCACTGAAAGACGTTTGAGTGTGTGCAATGGTAAGCGGGTTATTCAGTTATCAAGTGATTGAGCCATAAATCAATCAGGAGCCAGAAAGAACGAGTCGGTTATGAACAATCATCCAGGACGTGTATAAGGTAATGAGGGACAGAACAAAGTAAATCTATCAGCTGTTTATGGGAGGCGGGAACAGTGAAGAGTGGTAGTACATCATACAAGATGTCACGTTTGGACTAAAAAAGGGTTGAGGTCCAGCAGCTGCAGGTGGCCGGTTTAAAGCCCACACATTTGGTGATGTCAGGCTAAACCTAGAACAATCCTGCACACATTATGTTGGTATCAGAGTATTGAATGCACCACTAAGTAAATGGGGGGGGGAAATACTAACTCTTCAGCACAGGTTTTCAGCTAGTGTTCACTGATGTGCGCTGAACACCCATTTCCTGTTACATGCTGCAGTTGTTCGCCTCCTTACCTTCAATCAATGACTTAATGACCCCTTTTACAGTTTGACAAATTAGGCTCGATGTTGGGAGGTAAGAGAATCAGCTGTGTAAACCTGTGGCCACCTAAGATTAACCTGGACTCTCTTTAGTACACCTAATGTACCTTTCTAGCTTAAATATAGCGTACAAAATGACATACATTTACCATCTCTTTTTATCACATCCCGCACAATTTAACTCAATTCAACTCTAATGTCAGATCAGATGTTTGACAACAAATCCCACATAGAGCAGTACGGCCTAGAATACAGACATAATGGGTTTAGCACTGTTTCTATGTTGGCATCAGTTGATTTGGAACAAGAAGAGGAACCAATATGCTCATGGACAACTTCACAATAGTATTATATTGATGTTTACAAGAGTATATTTTATAGGCATGGAGGGATATTCATTTGTATTTAAAGTCATTTTGTAGGTAGTAGTTTGTGTTGTTGCGCTGCTGGATATTGCTCTTATTTATTTGTGTAAATCACCACACACCACTGTTGTGTCCACCTGTAAGACAAAATAACATTTGTACTTTTCCATCAACTGTAAGATGGTTAGGCCCCAGTGTATCAATAGTTGCAGGGTTATTTATACTTCACACATTGAATACTGAACACTGCAGTTATCTGTGCTATAATAAAATGCACCAGCTTACAGAGTCTGTTCCTCAGTATCTATTTACAAGATATACTTGGCTGAACTTCTATTCTCCATCATGTTTGCCTACATTTATGCTTACCAATAACCTACTTCCTCAGAAACAATCCTTACTTTTGTGCAGTGTGAAAAACGAAAATGGAACATTGAACATCTCCAGAATAGTAAGTGTTAGCAGCTATACTACGCACATCCAGCAGCAGTTCATAATAAATATCACTGCAGACAAACACAAAGCATCCACACTGCTAGTCACAGCCCTCCTGTTCCCATAGGTTGTTTCTGTGTTTCGCTGAATAAAGTTTGAAGTCGTCTGGCCCTTCCTGCTGGAACAAAATTCAACAAAATGGTCAACGGTTATCATTTTATGTTAATCCACAGACCAACACAGTCAAAGTTTATAGAGTCCACAGAGCAAGATGTGCCACTCTTAACTTAGCAGTCAGTGGAGCTTGTAATGTTAACTTTAGGCTACAAAGCTTTAGTTTATATACAGGCAATCCACGTTTACAGAGATATGAATGTATTGTAATTCAGAACAGAGACTTGGCTGCATATCTTATGTGATGATATGTTGGGTATTAGTCAGAAGACATCATGACACATTAGAGAATTGCTGAGGATGCCATAAAAAAGACATTCCATTGTGGTTCATGGTGAAGCAAGACTTCGCAATGTCAGGCTACCAACAAATCAACACCTACTTATTAATACTTACAAACATCCGAAAAAGGTAAATATAACAAATACACTCAGATTATATTTAGGATGATTAAACTCACACCCCCAACCCCCCTATCTGTCTTTTGGTGTCGTTTGTGGGTGTACAAATTGTAGGTTGTAGTTGTACAGCTCTATTTTACCAGGATAACCACCAAGCAAAAACTGCTCAAAACAACCCCGACCATTTATCAATGTTACCCTCTGTACTTTGAGAAATACTGATGGTTAAATATACTTTAGTGTTTATCAGAAGTAAACTAAGCTACTGCCCACTTCCTGCTGTTTTAAAAACAACAATTGAGACCTATACATTAAATAATCGAAGTGTTCCATGGGCCCTGTGATAAATCTGACACAAATGTATTAAAATATTTTTGTCAAACAATTAGGTAAATATTTCTAACTTTTCTCAAACCTCAGATGAAGGGTCACAAGAAGACTTTCTTATTTGCTTTATTTGTGAAACGCATTGCTATGTTTCACTGTTAAAAAATAGCTTTGCTTGTACAGAATACCTGTACATTTTACACATATGCTTATTTAACTTTTTCTGCCCCACAAAACCCATCCCACTAGAGTGTTATCAAAGCCCTGAACATGTTACACTACACATGTTGTAACACACACCTTTTCTTACAGTAACCTTTGCTGTCTTCTTTTCCACAATCCCAGAAAGTGGTGGTTAATAAGACCGTGTTTTTGTGCTTGTGTGAGTTGTGTACTGTGTGTGTTTCCTCTCCCTGTGTGGCTCCCTGTGAGCCCACTATAACCTGCCAGCACAACTGACCTGTGGTAAGGGGGAAATCAATAGTCAATTCCATTTTGCAGCCAGTGTGTGACAGGTACTAGATAGGAGTGGATTGGGTGCATGTAAGGAGCAGGAGCGTGAGTCGGCGCTTATCTCTCTCTCTCTCTCTCTCTCTCTCTCTCTCTCTCTCCTCTCTCTCTCTCTCTCTCTCTCTCTCTCTCTCTCTCTCTCTCTCTCTCTCTCTCTCTCTCTCTCTCTCTATCCTATCTCTCTCTCTCTCTCTCTCTCTCTCTCAGTGTCTCACTTCCTCGCTTGCCCAAGTGCAACCATTCAGAGGTATATAAGCTACAGTAAGGTATATCAATGTATTGAACATGTCAGAATTTTTTTTTTAATAATAAGAATTACAACAAAGAGATGCAAAACAACAAACAACAACAACAAAAAACGTTCAAGGTACAAAAAAATAAATAATTCGCAAATAGTCTCTGTCATGTTCAACAGGGGCAAGAAGAAGCTTAAAACAGCTTTTCTGGTCCTAGCAGAAAAGCATACATTTTTCTTGAAAATAAAAGATTAGGTCAGCGTCATGTTCGTCATGTTGTAAACAAATAATTGTTTTTCTACAAAACATCAAAAAACAGAATCAACTTTTACAATGACAAGGTATGTCTTGGGTTGTCCATGTTGTAATTGTATTCTGTGTTTTATTCTATACACAAGATTTATTGCACATTATTCCGTCCTGGCAAAGGGTTGCTCTTTCCAAGGTCCCCCCCCCACCCCCCCCCCCCCCCCCCCCCCCCCCCCCCCCCCCCCCCCCCCCCCTAAATGTTACTCTGGGCGTTTTCCCTTTCCTCAAAGATCTAAGGACAGAGTGTGTCATATGCTGTAACACTTTAAAGCCAAGGCAATTCAAGGTGCTCTACAAAAGCATTAACACTGTAAGAAATTGAAAGTTTACAAATCTAATTTTGAAACAGATTGTGCAAATGGTGCAGAATTATTATAACACAATATTACATTACATTACATTACATTGCATTTAGCTGACGCTTTTATCCAAAGCGACTTACAATAAGTACATTCGACCAGGAAGACACAACCTTGAAGAAAACAGAATCATATAAGTACATCAGGTTTCATAGAGCCAAACATTTCAAGTGCTACTCAACTGGCTTTAGGTAAGCCAGTCCTTTATTAGTATATAAGTGCTTTGTTAATAGTTCTAACGCTCGAAGTGGAGTCGAAAGAGATGAGTTTTCAGTTTGCGCCGGAAGATGTGCAAGCTATCTGCCGTCCTGATGTCAATTGGGAGCTCATTCCACCATCTTGGAGCCAGGACAGCAAACCCACGTGTTTTCGCCGATGGGAATTTGGGTCCCCCTCGCAGCGAGGGCGCAACGAGTCGTTTGGCTGATGCAGAGCGTAGTGCACGCGCTGGGGTGTACGGTTTAACCATGTCCTGGATGTAGGAAGAAAAAAAATATCTCTAGGACCTGGAGAAAAGCAGTAAACATATCGCTTTTTTTTAGCTATGATTTTACCTCAAATTCAGGTAGACACATTAAGCAAATGTTGAATATATGAAAGAGTCTATGAACCCACTAAATCGTATATGCTAAGGAGTGAACACCTGTTTAATTTATGCTGACACAAAACAATTGATACACACGTGTATGTGCATATGGCTGGACACTTTGTACAGCATCCATACACATGTGATTATACCCGCCGTGATAAAAGGAAGATGCACCTTCCACACTGTCGCTTCTCAGACATATGGTCGCTCCATCTCGGAGTCTTGATGATGTGGGCAGCAAGCACAGAATATATCTGAGCCTTCAGTCTAGACTACAATTTCAGAAAGCTGTGTAAATGTATCTACAGTTAGAAGAAGTGCAACCCGC